TCCGCAATAACCATATCGGACTATGCAGATGCAATGGAAAATTAAACTTATTTCGGCTGCGTCAAGCTATTTCTCTTACGAACAGCGTAGTATCACGCCTCATGGTCAGATATTAGAGCAGAAAACGGAGTTTTGACTAAAAATTTTAATGCTGACTTATAAAAGAAACTTTTTAAAAATATAAAATTTTAAAAAGCTGAAGTATTTTAATAAGAATCTGGTATAGTTATGGTAAGATAATTGCCTATATTTTTTTTCTCAAGCGTTTTAATGTATGTTTGTGTGATTTAATCAACGAATTCCTTGTTTAGTATGAAAACAAATTTTAAAGACGTTGAAATAAGCTGAAGCCATTTTTTCAATGCATCACTAACAAGAAAATTCACTGGGGCTTACCTTAACGGCTGAAAAGCACAGGGCACACGAGTAACTACAAAAGAAATGTACGGCTTCAGTGATGCGCTTGAGAATTTGCAAGCTGATAAAAAAGCAAGGAATGTTAAAATGTTAGTTTCCGCTAAGGAACATTTAATGTCTTTGGTATACAAATAGAAGTAAATTATTCACATATGAGAGCTTTTCATATAAAATGGAGCAATTTAGTTTTAGTGATGGAATAGCCCGAAGGATTAAGCACATGAAGGGAGGTACATATTTGTTTTCAGTTTTGTGTTACTTAAGCGGTGCTAGTTCTCTTAGGTCATGATATTATTGGCGATGACATTTTACTACTAATATCAATCTAAACAAGAAAATCGTTAACTTCGGTTGCACCGAAGCTTTTATACTCTTCACAAAAACGAACAATTCCGATCGTTCAATTTGTATGGCAGCTATATGATATAGGGATCTGATCTCAACAATTTCTTTGGAGATTAAATTGTTGCCTTAAGTAACAAGTTTTGCCAAATTTCGTGAAGATATTACGTCAAATTAATAAGTTTCCCATACAAGTACTTGATTTCGATTGTTCAATTTGTATGGCAGCTATATGCTACAGTGGTCCGATATCTTCCGTTCCAACAAATGAACAGCTTCTTAGTGAGGAAAGAACAGGTGCAAAATTTCCGATCGATTGATAGGTATATACAGACAGACGGACATGGCTAAATCAACTCAGCTCATCATGCTGATCATTAATTTATATATTTTATAGGATCTCCGAGGTTTCCTTTTTAGTGTAACAAATTTCGTGGCAAACTTAATATACCTTGTTCGGGGTATAAAATCTACAGTAAAGACAATTTTTGCCAATGACCGCGCAAAGTATACTTGCCATATCATTGGCCATCTCAGCGAAATCAATTAATGGCTTCAGAACAAATGTGAAATATTGTTTTACTTTTATATAAAGGATGGTCCTTCGTTCCAACTGGGGTTGATGAAAATAAAGGTTGTTTTTTTT